ACCAGATAAGTTATGGACAAGCTTGTCAAGTTATGGTTCATAGCCAGACAAGTTATGGAAAAAATCCGTGAATTATGGACAATAACTTGTCAAGTTATGGTTCATAACCAGACAAGTTATGGACGAAAACAATAATTTAGCATATTTATTAACTAATGTAAACTATTTAATTCATCTCAAGTTTTGACCTATTTTCCCCTTTCTCCCATGATTAATTACTTTAAAACGTAATTATTATTTTAAAAAAGAAAAAACAAGAACGAGAATAAGAACATAACAGAACAAAACAAAACAAGAACAAAACCCATCATTAAAGCCTCTGCATCTTCGGCGGAGTAGAGGAGATAGAAGCCGTAGGCGTCTTCAACGGAGTAGAGGAGAGAGAAGCCGCGGCATCTTTCGTAGAGTCGAGGAGACAGAAGGAGCGAATCTTGTTCATATCAAATCTTTGCCCACCAAGCAGTCGCATATTAAAATCCGCGAGGTTGAAATCCGATCAGGAGAAAGCTTTTGCGGGGTCATCGGGCGACCACGGGGTGGGTTGCCGGAGTGGCTGGACGAGCATTGAAGCTCTGAAATTTTTTTCTTTTCTTGAAGATTTGGGCCTCGTTCATTTCACCAATTCGAGTTTTGTTATAGTAAAAGCTCTTAGAAACAGTCACATCTAATTTTTTTACTACAGTAAAAAGTTCTCACATAAAATCACTTTTCAATTCGAATTAAAAACTCGAATCAACGAACTAAACAGGTCATTGGTATGAGCTTGTTTTGAAGAACATTCTTGATTTTGATTTTTAAACATGGATAAAGTTTTCCTTTTTTATTTACAAATATAAGTGTTAGATTTATTTTTGTCATGATTAGGGGAATTTAAATTTTGTTTAAAGAAGTGATTCTTAAGTCTTGTTTATGAGAGGAAGATGAAGAAGTTGTTTTTGTTAAAAATAAAATTTAGGGTCCGTTTAGTTAGCTGATTCTAGTTTTTAATTCGAGTTAAGATATAACTTTATGTGAGAATTTTTTACTGTAACGTAAAATTTAAATGTGACTGTTTCTGAGTTTTTTTATTATAATAATCGGTGAAATAAACGGGACCTTAATAATTACGTTTTAAAGAAATTAATCATTAATTTTGAAGCAAAACAATTAAAAGGTATAAAAGACATTTTATGTTTAAAAAAATCTGGTGTAAGATGCTAATAAAAAAAAGTTTTTTAAAACCTTAAGATACCATTTTAATATTGTCAAAAACACATGATGTCAAGAACATATTTTCCTATAACACAAGATATCAAAATAATTTTATTCATGTACGAAAATAATTATATCCCTTGTTCTTATTATAATTGTTATTTTTTATTCAATAATTACAGTAAATATTTTAAGAGTAGTTATATTCACGCATTTCTCTTTTTACTCTATTCACTCCTTTTTAACCACACACTACTCATAATTTTCAAATGATTTACTTTTCTTTCTACACGCCCCAATTATTCTAAAATTACTCCTAACTGTTTTCATAAATTAAATTATCAAGAATAGTTTTATTTATACCCCTCTTTTTTCTCTACACATCCACATCTTTACTCTTTACACTTCCCTCTAACTACACACTCCACATAAGTTAATTTATCACTTTAATATTATCTTTTATTTATATCTTTTTATTTTTTATTTTTTGTTGAAACTTTGGCATCAAGTGTGTTTTTTTTTTTTTTAAGTTCAATAAGGAAAAAAATAATAAGTGAAAAAGTAAATAAAAAAATAAAAAAATGTAAACTAAGTTGCATTATATTCATTAAATATTAATCGAGCCAGCATTAAAAAATTAAAGAATCAAAGAGAAATACCCCGTAGTCGACATTATAAGAAACGGAAAAAGTGAAATAATTTATTTAAAAGATTAATTAACAAACAAATATGAATACAAAATGAAAAACAAAATTAAAAAAAAAACAATCTTCATATAATAAATAGTAAAGAAAATTGAATTACCACCATGTAATTTTTTGGAATAGTCATCGAAAATGTGAAAATGATTTATCATAAATTTTTAAAATAGAAATAATTTATAATTTAAAATATTACTGTTCTTTTACATCTTTGAGTTAGGGTGACTTGAGTGATGATCTTGAGTTAAGTTTGAGTTATAACTTGAGTTGAAGTTATAACTTGAGTTTATGTTTGGATGTGCACATTTGAGTTATGATTTGAATTGAGAATCTATTTGAGTTTGTGTTTAGGTGTGTCAAAACTTAAATTTGTAATATATAGTATTTTAATAAAAACTCAATAGTGATGAAAAATTTTAATAGTGTATATGTGTAGGGTTTTATTCATCTTTTCATTGTGAATGCATAAAAAAAAATCATCAATCATAATTAAAATGAAAAAGTTATGATATTTTTAAGAATAGAAAAAATATTGTTCATTAAGTTGAGTTCGAGTTTATGAACTCGAGTTGAAGGGGAAACTTGAACTCGAGTTTAACCCCAAACTCGAGTTTAAACTCAAACTCGAGTTTAAACTCGAGTTTAAACTCAAATTTTATAAAAGAATATGATCTTGAAGAAAGTTGTAACTCGAGTTTAAATTTTTTTTGAGTTTCGTGGCAAAATAACAACCTATGTGGAGTGTGGAGAAAAATTTTATGTTGTGCCACTGAACATCAAACACAAGCTTAACATTATTAAAAGAAATTTTATACCTATATTGTCTGGTTAAAAAGTTGTCCAATTATGTATAGATTTCAAAAAGGAGTACTGCTAAGATTTTTCTAAAAAAGTTTTAAAAAATCATTATTCCTCTAAAAGAATATAATTATTACTTTTTAAAAGTAATTTTCATATTTCTATAACAAATTTATAAAGTTAATTTAATTTTTAAAAGTAATTTTAATATTTCTATAACAATTTTATTTTCATCGAAACCTCCGTAACAAATATCTATTTCATAGTTTTTTTTTTTTTTTTTTTTTTTTTTTTTTTTTTTTTTTTTTGAGAATCTATTTCATAGTATTTTAAAGTTACTTTTCTTTAATAAAAAATAACGTATAAGAAAAGCATGCATGTTGTGGGCACAAGTCTCAGCGCGCACCATTTTTTTTTTTTTTTAATGATATAAAGGAAACTACGAAAATAATGTAGAATTATTTATATAGTAAAGTAAAGAACGTACGCGAAGAGGATTTTCTAAAATTAACTTTTATGTATTTACGAACTTGGTGCCCGCACGATGCTGCGGAAGGTATTGTTGGTGATGTTTTTAATATAGCAGTTTATAGATGTATTTGTATATAGTCGTTAAAGAACTACTTGGTGGATGAAGGTGAAGGGGAAAAATATTAACATGTCTATGGTTATATTGTTGCAACAGTGACCAAAGAAGCCCAAGAAGAACAAATGGAGAAGGAGAAAATTGGGAAAACGACTAAATGATTAAATTGTGTAGTTAAAAAGAGTTGGAAATCATGTGCCTAAGAGAAGGGTAGAAAAAAGAGGAAAGAGAGAATAGTGTCAATAACAAAAAACAGAAGAAAGTACAGGAGGAGGAAATAGTAACATGAGAAAGGTAATATAGTCTATAGTGCATATCTAAACAGAGTTGAAGAATCTGACAAAATAGAGGTACGAAGCAAATATCTAAATCTATGGCCTCATTTGCACAAAAATACTTGGTAAAGCTTAGTCTAAGTGAAGGAAAGATGAATGGGTGAAAAACTTAGGAGTGGATTGAATGATTAAATACGAAGGTAGGAAATGATTTGAGATCATTTTAATAGGAAGAAAAGAAGAGAAATTGCGGGAAAAAAAGAAAAAGAAGGTAATCGGATAAAATCGATTGAATGAATAAAGCCGCACTTGTTCTATCAATCATATGTAATTTAGTGTGTTAAAATTATGCATAATCATCATCGCCATGAAAAAGTTTATTAAAACTGAGATATCGTAAGTAAATATAGGTATGGGTCAAAGAGTATCTATTTCTATAGCAATGAATGAGGTGAAAATGGTTCACTAACATTTGGTAAAATTGAAGAAAATCTGTGGTTAGTCTTTTGCATTGCCAGTACTCATCAATTAAATAAGAGAAACAAATGCAAATAAAAGTAAAGAAGCATAAACAATGTTAAATTTGTTACATCCACTGTAAGCAACAATTTTTTGATATTTGTTGCCAAAAATTATAAATAGTACCTGAAATGTTACAAATGCTACTCCAAGTACCAAATATCGGCCAATCAAATATGTGTAACAGCTAGTGATACAGCGATGAAAATATAAACCACATTGTGGTGGGAAATATGGGGAAATACAGCTAAATAAGTACGTAAACAGGAAAATGAATAAATGAGAGATGAAAATGAGCAAAGCAATTGTAATGGAAAAAAAAAGATGGGAGAAAACCAGAAACCAAGAACCAAATGAAGAGGATGGCAAAGAGAAAGCAGCGGAAAAGGAACAGAAGCGAGATCTAATAAAAGATGAACATCACAATGTTTTTACTTAGTAATTATGGCTCAGATAATGAATATTGTCAGCAATGTGTGATAAAAAGGTAAACGCAAACATTTACAGTATTTTTGTGGCTACCTACTAAGGGCAGCTGCACAAAAATGCAAATGGCAATAAGACACCGAGTTTATCACACAAATTATAACTTGCATGTCATAGAAAGTGAATAAGCAGAGTAAAGTATAGACTTGTCCAAAAGCCACCAGGTGAGTTAAACCGGGAAGGAAAAAACAATGGATTTATTATAGGTATAACACAGCAACAAAGCGAGAACGAACTGTAAAAACCAGACCAGGCAGAAAAGGAAGGAAATAAAGGAGTGGAGAAAGCATAAAATATAAGAAAATGGAAGAGGAAGCAGAAGCTAAGACTGCATTTGCATTAAATGGCTAGTTATTCAAATCCAAAGGCAGAAGAAGCCATCAGAATGCAGAGGCAGAAGAATGCAACCACAGGCCCAACTTCAAAAACGCCAAAAATTTCCCAATGTCAATAACAAAACAGTGCAACCACAGTCAAAAGATTAAGAGGAGCAAGAAGGTCATGCTAAGGAGTGAAGAGATAGGAAAAGAGGGCAAATCCGTTTTCCCACTATACAATCCACAGCAGTTCAAATTAGAATCAATGGTGAGAAATTCAAATATGATAGTGCAGTTTTAAAGGCGAAAAAAGATAAAGAGAGAGCCAAAAGAAAAGTAGGAGGGGCTAGAAATAAGTAAAAATTAGAAACAAACAGCAGCGGTGAATCAAAATAGGATAAGAAAACTTAAAATGAGTAATCGAAAGGGAAACGTAATGCATCTGTAAATAGCTTTTAAATCAAATGACAACGCCAAAAATGCAGAAGCAGTAAACTAAGCAAAAGGAAGAAAAAGGAGAGAACCAAAAATGTTAACTAAGGAAATACTGACAAATCCGGAATCGAAATGAAAAAAGTAGACTCACGGCAATTTTTGGACAAATCATACAATACTCAATGGGTCAAAATTATTCATGCTAGTTCATCTCCTTTTAGAAATAGGAAGAGAACTAAAACATTTTTATGAATCACATATCATATCTACCTGGTCAGGTCACTCCTGTTCCAAAGCCGCAAGAAGTTCAAAAAGTAGAACCAGTTGTCCGACAGCCTGAAGCAACAGAGCAGGTTGCTGATACAGCTCCTGTTGCCACCCCTCCGAAAGTTGATTATGCTACTGACCTTTTCAACATGCTATCCATGGATGGTCCAAATGAAAATGGTTCAGAGACAGCATCTGCTGATGATAATGCCTGGGCAGGTTTTCAATGTATGTATCTATTTCCCCTTCTCGGCATTGTTTTCATTTCCCGGATCATGCTAACTCTAGACTATAGGATGCGTCTTTTAATTACTTGGGGTTAAGAAGTGCCATTTGTGATCCAATTTGCAGCTGCTCAAGAAGCATCAACAGCTGAGAAAACTGTTCCACCAAAACCAGTTGAGAGCAGTAACAAGTCTAATTCTGGACTTGAGGATCTCTTTAAAGATACACCTATAATTACACCATCTGTTTCTGAAAAACCCCAAAAGGACGTGAAGAATGATATCATGAGTCTATTTGAGAAGGTAAGTTCTGCATTTTGTTTTCTAATTAGAATCTAAGAAAAATATCTTATTTGCTTGGCAGTTTGGAAAATATGTTGCTCTCTTTTGCTAGTTTGGACAGCTGGTGACTTTGTGAAAGAATCAAATATTTGATCTCGGGAGTTGAAGAGTAAATATCTAGATATTGAACGTTTGGACTCTAAGACGCATTATGTGGTAGGCGGTAGGCTGTCTAATGCAAGGACAATATTTCTGCCATGCGTGGTGAATGCTTATGCGAGGAATCAAGTAATAGTAACAGGGTTCGGCATTAAAAAAAAAATTAAAAAAAAAAGAACAAAGAAGATAAATAGGAGCAAATAAAAATAAAATATGTCAGGTAAAAATATGCATCTAAGTATCTGACTAAAAAATGAACAATTTTAGACCTAATAACTAAGGATCATACACCGTTTATACACAGAGAAAGAAAAGAAGGAAATAAGCATATGTTAATAACATGCATTAACAATAAAAGAAAATTTTTATTGATTTGCTATAAAGGAAAACTTTTTACCAAGTTTTTAGAGCAGCAACATTCATTCATAAACTGATAAAGTTATACATCAACAGAAACAACAAAACAAAGCTGGCATATTAATAGCAGCACGGGAAGATAATATGTTGAATACCATTAGAAAACATAAAAGATTACAGGTAAAAGCTATTAGGAATACCTGAAACGTTGTAACGCTGCTTTCAGTATAAGATATGAACCAACCAGGGGCGAACACAGGTAGTCAAAGATAGAAGGATGAAAAATAAAGCACTAAGGGGACGTTTGATATGCAGTAATTTTAAGGATGGGAATGAAAATCTACAATATTACCATGTTTGGTACAAAAATTATAATTTTTAGATTCCTAAGAAAGTGATTACCATGGGATTCACTTTCTTTCATTTTAAGGTAATTTAAATACCACCTAACATGGTGTTATTTAAATTTCTAAGAATCTCAAAATCATGTGAATCTTATTATTATTATTATTATTATTATAGATCTTCTTCCATGCGAACAATCAAATACAGAAATGTAATATTTTTGAGAATTTAAAAAAGATTCTTGTATGGAACTAAACACAGTAATGTATTATTCTTAAGAATCATATTACCCTCCATCACTTTCCTAGGAATATGATTTCTACTAATTTTCGCATACCAAACGCCCCTTAAATGATCGACAACGGACTCAAGCAGTAAAGGAGGACAGGTAAGATACAAAGGGGAAAATGTCAAGTGAAAAACAGAGCAATAAATGGTTGACAACAGACTGACACAGTAAATGAGCATAGGTGAGATAGAAAGGAAAAAACGTCAAGCCAAGAAAAAGAAGCAAAAATACCAGTAACAAATTGATGTAGAACAGTAGCATATAAGAGCAAGGAATGAAGAAGCTAAAATGAACAGTAAATAGCCTCTAGCCACAAAACACGTGGTAAAGCATTGTCGGTTCACAAAAGTTAAGAACTAAGAACTTCCTTATTAACTGATAACAAAAATAGTATTGTAATTAGAATAAAAGAAGAAGAAAAAGAAGCTAAAAAAAGAAAGGCGACATAACTCCAAGAATAATTATCTGAGAGAGAGAATAAAAAGAAACGGTAACAGGAAAAAGTAGAAAAAATGGGAAAAAAAATTTCCCGTAAAATTCCAACCTATTTCAGAGAGTCAAAGAAGAAATAATCACCAATGCATTTAATACATATGCTGCAAAATATGTACAAATTATCGTGCTGGCAATACAAATCAGCAGTACAAACACCACAACAGCTCAACAATTTAATAAATGAAAGGCCAAAAAATCAAGGATTTACATACACGCGGCAGCCAAGCAGCGACGGAGAGCAAAAAATCTGGGAAGAAAAAACTGCACGAAATCAGAAAAGATAGAACAATAATAGAATAAATGAAAGGTAAGAAAATGAAGATTTACACACACACGGCGTGCAATCAGGGAGGGAGATCAACAAATCCTGCACAAAAAAATATATGAAATCAGAATACAAAAATCTTCTAAAAAGTATTATTACAAAATCGAATCTATTACTCAATAGGAAATTACAATGCACATATTCTTATGAATCCCAAAAATTTATACCAAAGAGCGAAAGGAAAAAAAAAAAGGGAGAGGAAGGAAAACAACGGAAAAAAAGAACGGGGAAAGAACGAAAACGAAAACTGTAAAATCAACACATAAAAACCCAAACCAAAACCGCAGTTGAAGCCCGGGCAGAAGCGTAAAAGAAGAATCAGCGAGTCGCGGACGACGACAACAACATAAATCGGAAGAAAATCGCAAATCCAACCAGTAAAGGAACCCAAAAGAAAAAAAGAATAAACTCCTAAAATTTCCACCGAAATCACACCAAAGAATCCGCAAAGACGAAGGCGCAAACCAACAAATGCAAGATCTGCAGCAAAACAAAAGTGAAGAAACGAATGAAAGCCAAAAGGGAAAGAGCAACAACAAAACCAAGGAAGCAGCAGACAAAAAGCGGCGGAAGGAAGAAAAATCTAAGGGCAAAACGGCACAAACACAGCCCAAACAGTAAAAGGATCTAAAACCCCATGACCATAAACGGGAGGGAACAAAAAAAAGGGCAGAACCGTCCGCCCACTGTACGAACTACAGTAACCTGAGTCTATATGAACAGTGAGTCCCTCCTTCTCTTTAGAATATTTATAATGTTGCCTTTAGAACAGATAGATGGGTAGATATTAATTAACAAAGGAACTTGTGCATAGGCGTGCTCCAATTCTCTTCTATAAAAGGGCAATTACTACTAAAGCCTTTTTCTCACAACAACGTATCCTCCCTCTACCTACTATCATTTAGCTTCCAGAAAAAAAAAATGTCGACTGATCTCTGTGGTAAGCTTCAGACAGATGTGGAAATCAAAGCTTCTCCTAGTCAATTCCATCACATGTTCAAACACAAACCTCATCACATATCCATTCATCTTCTAATAAGATTCAAGGTTGTGAATTACACGATGGTTCATAAGGCACTATGAATTACACGATGGTTTATCAAAATACTTTCACGGTAAGAATAGTCTTTATATGAGTATGTGTATGTGGATTTTTTTTATGTGATATGAAAAGGGTAAAAAACTAATCCCATTCTTACATCATTTAAATATAAAAGGAATGAATCCATGAATATCTCTTAAATTTTGAATGAAAATCATTAATTTTGTCTCATAAAAGTTTCCTAACTATCTTTTCTTTCTATACAAGGTCTCTATATTAAAAGTGGTACTAAATTTAGTCCCTAAAATTAAAAATAATTTTAATAATATGCCAAAATTATCATTTTTTAAGTAAGTAGGAGTACAATTAAATACGAGAAGTTGTATCAAATATAGTGTCTAAATTTTTTTAAAAAAAGTTATTCTATTTACACCCATTAAATGTCTAAATAACATCACATGAACAAAAATATTTTTATTTTTTGTTACAATACATAAAAAAAAATATAAAATAATCGTGTGATGCATTTTGGAGTATTGTGGACTGCAGTTTACATTTAATTGTTTTTTACTCTTTTTTAGGGAATTTCTATCCTTAATTTATTGTTGAAATATTCTGACGAATAGGTAATACTTATATATGAGCATTGTCTTCTTAATTGAATTTTGAATGTGCTAAGTTTCAACATTTTGTTTTGTTTTGAATTAAAATTGAATGTAATTTTGATTGTAATTTTGATTTTTTTACAGGATTGTTTACTAAGGAAATAAAAAAATAAAGTGTTAGATTAGTAATATAAAAAGGATGTAACAATGGTATAATACAAAATATATTCATAAAAGTATACACTTTTAAAGATTATTATAGGATAATAATTAATTTGGAAAAAATAAAGTGTTAGATTAGTTTGGTAGTGCTGTGGATTTTAAAAATTTTGTTTTTTGCTGTGCTGAAAGAAAAAACAGCTATTACAAAAAGTAACTGAGTGTTTAGTAAACTATAATTATTCTAGCTGTGCTAGTTCTTAAATCAGTGTAGTAATATTTGGTAAATTATGAGGTTAAATTGCTGTAGGTAGTTAAAATGACCAAAATAGACGTGGTATGAAATTTAAATATAATAATATTAGTCAATATAATAATATTATATATTATATTATTTATAATAATTATAATATTATGTATTAAATTATATATTATATATAAAATAATATAACATTTATTATTATTATATATTATACTATAATATAAAATATAATAATTATCATGTTATATAATATTATATTAAGCATATATTATATTATATATCATAATATTATGTATTACATTATTATATCTAATATATTATAATATATTATATATAAAATAATATAACATTTATTATTAGTATATATTATACTATAATATAAAATGTAATCATTATTATAATATATAAGATTATATTAAACATATATTATATTATATATTATATATTATATATTATATATTATAAAAAATCTAATATTATATTATATGTTGTTACATATTACATATTATACTTCTATATATTTTATTATAATATATATATAACATAATGGAAATACTTGTTTAACTTAAAAAAAAAAAAAAAAAAAAAAAAAAAAAATGCTGTGATTTTGAGTTATCTAACAATAAATTTATGATAATTAATTCTTTCTTTTCATTTTTTCATTCACAATATAGTTACAATAAAAATGAGCATTAGTGAGTAGTCATTAAAAAAATTAAGACGTGCTCATTAAACTTGCCACAATTTGATCTCGTACTTCATTCATTTCTTATGATAGTGAAGCTTCATCTTCTTCTACATTATCCTCTGGTTGATTCTCTTGATAAACGAAAACATCTAGATTATACTCGACTTCTTGAAAATGTTGATCACGCTTATCATGCATCCTAATGTAGTTATGAAGTGCCATTGTTACAATAACTATTTTTATTTGCTTCGTAAATGAATAATTAGGCACGTCTCTCAAATTTTTTCATTTTTTCTTTCAGACACCAAAAGTGCATTCAATGACACTTCGAAGAGAAGAATGTGCTTGGTTGAATACCTCGTTACTGCATATTGGTCCATGACCCATTCAAAATTGTGGTAAATGATATCGTTCTCCTTTATAAGGTCCAAGAAATCCTTTTAAATGTTGATAGCCCGTGTCAACCAAATAATATTTACCTATTAAAATAAAAACACAAGAATTTGTAAAATGTAAAACATATATAATATAAAATATAGACAAGGTTTTAACCTTCTGGTGGTTTTGAAAATTTTAAATGTCGGTTACGTAATGTTGATAAGAATATTCTTGTATCATGGGCACTACCTTCCCAACCTGCATATGCATATATAAATGTCATATTGAAATCACAAGCAGCAATCACATTTTGGGTTGGCACACGCTTTCTTCCATTAAATGGTACCTGATCTTCTGGTGGTATTGTAGCTAGAACATATACATCATCTATTGCACCAATACAATTCTAAAAAGATGAATTTTTAGTGTAGAAATAAACATAATTTTAGTAGGGAATGAAGCATATAAAAAGTATGATTTTACCTTAAAATGTGGCATATATCTACAATCTGTCATTATCTCTATTAGCACGTCATTAAACTCTAGATCTAGAGGCTGTATAATATCGATGCTCATATGACATATAATTTCTAAAACATAATTAAAATATCTACTCACAGTCTGACCAGAGTGTTGAAATCGCTCTTGTGTTGAATGATTCCCCACGTCCTAACCCAAATGAATAAAAATATTCCAAGTATTTCAGCTGCACACATATTCTTTGATCCCTGTAACACGTAGTTACTCTGTAGATCATTACATAGCTTTAAAAACACATTCTTATCCATTCTAAACATCCTATAACTTCTAATTTCATGCCCTCTTAATAATTCTATCACCCACATGTTTCCAGTTTGTGAAGAGTTCATACACGGATTTTTATGAACATACGTGTTGTAGTAATATTTAATGAGTCGAGCAATGGTACATACAAGTTGTAGATCGAACTCATCATCATTGTGTCACGCCCCCCAAACGGGGTGGGTGACGTGGAGCTCGATTTGGGATTAATAAAGCAGATTCCCAACCGGGCCCCATACTTAACTGCATTAAAATATGAATAAATTACATTACAGAATCCCGGAGCCTCTGACACACATGGCTCCACCCCACAGGACATACAGTATCGTACATACATGCTCATGTAAATAATCATTACAACAGACATCAACCACAGTCTAGTAAATCCAAATATTACATAAGTTTACAGAATTTCTCAATTTCCTTACATTTGCCTAAGAGGATGTCCACGATCTTCACTTAATTCTAACAGCAGTACAACTCAGCTGCTCCGTAGCAATTATACAGCTACTGTGCACCGTTCCTAGAATCTCCTGGGAGGGGTTTAATACATTTGAAACATAAAACGTGAGCGAAAGGCCCAGTAGGATATAATTTGAAATAAACGTTATAAATAAACGAATAATAAGTGTGCGAGGAAATACATGAATGAATAAGTAAATAAAATTAGACATTCAGTCCCGACAGAACAGCCGGAACCTCACATCATTTTTTCTCAAAGGAAATATAACTGAAAATAACCGTTTTACAGGCTTCAGCAAGTAATTAGTACAAATTACTTACCTACCCAAGTGCCTTGCCTACCCGGACCGAGTTTCGGGTTCTGCCCCCAAGGAGGCACTCTCCGCATCCTATCTAGGCTTACAGCAATAGACTCTATTACCAGTTCACAAGATCTCTTTATTAAGAAATCATTCATTAACATTTTAAAATCGTTAATACGACCTCACGAACTACTCAAGTTGCGGGCCCCATAACTGGACAAGCCATGAGGTTCCATGACTAAACAAGCCATGGTTTTCAAAATATTTTCTTTCACAAACTAATCCCTTTCTTTAAAACATTTTCAAGGCTAAAATCCTTTTTGAAAACAGGCTCATAAGGAAAAAGGATAGAAATCCTACCTCGCATTATCAAACCTGGGACTAGCGTTGCCTTTTCCGGCTTCCGCTTCCTCAAGCCCCTTCAGTCTGAATCCTCAGCGATCACTGATACAAGACAACACTTTAGGATCAATTCTCATTCCTAAAGCAATCTAAATCTCAATTTTCAACCAAAATTTCTTATTAGTGTGCCCTAATCCATTTTCATGTTTCAAATTATCATTCTAAGGGTTTTCAATCTCAAATCAAGGATTAACAATGCTAATCCATCTATCTCAAGTTCCCAAATGAAGCTAATTTGGGTTCTCCCTGAAAACAGGGGTTAAAATAGCCTCTTTATTAAGAAATCATTCATTAACATTTTAAAATCGTTAATACGACCTCACGAACTACTCAAGTTGCGGGCCCCATAACTGGACAAGCCATGAGGTTCCATGACTAAACAAGCCATGGTTTTCAAAATATTTTCTTTCACAAACTAATCCCTTTCTTTAAAACATTTTCAAGGCTAAAATCCTTTTTGAAAACAGGCTCATAAGGAAAAAGGATAGAAATCCTACCTCGCATTATCAAACCTGGGACTAGCGTTGCCTTTTCCGGCTTCCGCTTCCTCAAGCCCCTTCAGTCTGAATCCTCAGCGATCACTGATACAAGACAACACTTTAGGATCAATTCTCATTCCTAAAGCAATCTAAATCTCAATTTTCAACCAAAATTTCTTATTAGTGTGCCCTAATCCATTTTCATGTTTCAAATTATCATTCTAAGGGTTTTCAATCTCAAATCAAGGATTAACAATGCTAATCCATCTATCTCAAGTTCCCAAATGAAGCTAATTTGGGTTCTCCCTGAAAACAGGGGTTAAAATAGCATTTCAGGCCAAACAGGGTCAAACCCCGTGTCAACCAGTCGACCGGTGACAGAGCAGTGCAACACTACCGGTCAACCGGTAGTGTGCACACCGGTCGACAGGACCGGTCGACCGGTCAGCCTACAGTCCAGTCGACCGGTTTCCATGTGATCCGGTCGACCGCACAGGTCGACCGGTGGAATCAGCTGCGCGAGAGAAGCTCACGAAAATCAGTCCAAAACCTGCAAATCCAGTCCCAAATCGAAATATTTCAAAGGGAAACCACTAGATCTGGGTTCTAGGTCCTAAAACAAGTCCAAAGAACCCAAGATCTCCAATTTCTACTCTAGTTTTACTCAAAAACCATCAAAATC